ATTTCCTAAAACCTCAGGCGCTTGGCCAAAGCTCACAAGAACCCACACCTCAGTATCCTTTTGCCCAGATACTGCTAAAGGTGAGCTTCCTACTTCCCGTGAGGTTGAAGTGCATGTCACTCATGATGTGTGGTGCTGCACATAGTTGGCCAGCCTCGAGTGTCCCTTTAGCTCCTTGGGAATGTTAACCTTACTTTTTGACTCAAGATTTAACTTTGATCCCATAGCTACCAAGTGACTTCTGGGCACCTTGAATTGGGGACCCAGATGCCATCTGGGCTTGCCCATTCTGTATCACTGAGGTGTCTTTACCTCTCAGGTCAAACAAGGCACTAGGTGTCTGGGGTGATTGTTGGCGCTCAGGTCCTAGCATCTGTTTTTTTGGCTCTGGCACTTTTTCTCTGTACTTGCTAGAGCCTGAGAAGCAGGTGACACCATTGAGCATTCTTGGCCCCACAGGGACTCAGAATCCTGTGACACAGCCTGAGGAAGGAGGCTGGCTAAGTAGGACAACTGTGTAGGGTGCCACCGCCCCCCCCTGCCCTTTGAAATGCCAAAGTGAAGCCACATCACTCTGCTCTGAGCACTGGTTTGCAGCTGGACCCTCTGTGGCTTACTGAGGCTCTGGTGTTGTGTGCCTGGTGTTTGATCAGGGCACCTGTGCAGGTGACTTCCAGGCTGTGTATTTGCTATCAGAGCCAAGAATCAGGTCTTCCTGCCTGGGTTGGTGGCTCAAGGGCTGTTGTGTTGGTCCACTCCTTCCTTCAGTTAATGGAAATGAGCAGGGTGCCAAACATACAGCAGTGAGCAAGGACCATTGCTGTCCTCACTGGGAGCTGGGAAGGTGCAAACCTGTGTGGTGGCAAATGGAAAGTGCCACCAAGGGCAGGTGCAAAGACCATGGGAAAGTAGGGCCTGTGGGGTGAGATGTGCAGGGACACCCGAGGCCCTGAGAAAGCAAATGGGAGGGAAGAAGGGGGCATGGCATGTCAGTGAGGGCCCAGATCTGGGAGGATGGAGAACCCTGAGGACTAAACATGGAGGGATAGGAGGTTGCCGAGGCGAAATGAGCTACAGAAGGTGGACTTAAGGTGGCTGCTCCCTCAGGCTCACCTCCTCCATGAGGCCATCTTCCTTAGCTTTGCAGCCTTAGCCATTGGTACACTACTCTGGACAGGATCAGTTTTGCAGAAGTGCTTTGTTTGATCTGACCCACGTTCTTGGCTTGACCCAGCTGCACTTCAGCGCATACACTCTGACTTTGACTTGGAGGAGGAATTTGAGATGTGGTCAGGATTGACAGCACAAATGATGTTTACCTGCAGTCCTGTCAGCTTTCCCACTCGAGTGCCAAAGTCACTTCCCTTTCCAGTATTGGGTGAAAGAGTTCATTTTTGCCAGCCATCCCTGTCTCCTGCCTGGAGGAAAGTGTGTTGACTCAGGTCTTCCAGGACAGAGTTCCTGAGAGGAGGCCAGCGGTCCTTATGACAGTAATGTCTCCAAGAGTCAGCAGCCCACAGCAGCCAAGGCATGAAGTGGCCCAGACAGGTGGATGATGAGATGCAGACTGAGGGCCCATGGTCTTGAGGTGCACTTCAGAGGGAAGCTGTCCCCATGACACCCATGTCAGACATCATCGTTCAGTGTGCCCGGGACATGGGAACATTCACAAAGAGGGACGATGAAGCCTTAGCAAGGCTTCCAGGTGTTTACCTAAAGACCAGATTTATGCTGGTAGAGATGAGTAGGGTATTTGGTTAAAAGATGGGAGGAGTTTGAAGTCAGAGCTGCACAGAGTGCTTCAGGGTCCTGCTGAGATTTGAAGAGCAGGTGCCAACCCTGGCTCACTGAGGGTACCAAGCCAGACTCAGAGTGGCCTTGGTCCCTTTACCCTCCTCACCTGTGTGAGGCAGACCTGCTTGTTTTACAGATAAGGCAACCAAGGCTTAGAAAATTGTAAGTTATTCATCTAATGCCACAAAGGGAGAAGGACTGGGAGCCTGTCTGTTTCCAAAGGCTACTTTTGGCCTGCTGGAGGTGGACACTGGTTTTTATCAGCCCGGACTATGGTGCTGGACCCTTCTATCTCCCCCCACCCAGACTCTGGGCTTTGGCTCCATCATCACTCTGGGGAGGATAGCCAATGGAACGGGGACTTCTTGGGAGTGTTTCTCATTTCAGGTCTTCAAAAGGAAGCCCCCCCCCACCCCCAGATGAACAGGAGAGAATGTTTGTGTTTCCTGGAGACCAGGACTCCATTTTGCATGTTTCTGCCTGATCCATATTTCTCACAGAGCTTTTTTCTCTGCACATTGTGTATTTATAGAGCACACGTGGCAGGTGCAGCTCTGGGCAGGACACAAAGACACCATGGGCAGTGCCCCTGACCTAAGGCCCTCACAGATGGGGGAGATGGGAATATTCCAGCTATCTAAAACTCGGGCCATGATAAAAACAATGGAGATTCAAAGCAAGCACCATGGAAACGGGTTGGGGGCGGGGAGAACTGGTTCATTAGTACTTGGAATAGGAGTGGGGCTGGGAAGTTTTCCAGCAGAGCTGATGTTTGAGCTGGCATGGGAACAAGTAGTGGGGAGGGGGAACCAGGAGGTGGCAGCGCCACAGTGCATTCTGGGAGCTTCCTGGAACAGGTGAGTGTAGTGTGATGGTGGGAAGGAGCTTGGAGTGTCAGCAATGGACTTTCTGTGGGGAGGAGATTGGAAGTCAGGGTCCAGGACCCCACCTGCCAGGGGTGCCTTGTGGCTGCTGAGGATGTCTTGAAGGATCACTGTGAGGAGCCGAGGGTGAATCTGTTGCCCGTGACTTGGCAGAGGATGTGCATCCTAACTGAGCAACCCCATGCTTGCCTGTGTATTTGTGAGGAAGGAAACAATTCTGCAGACTCACCAAGAAGTACAGAGAGGGTCGAGGTGAGGTTTTTAGATGTCCGCAGACAGTGCAGAGGAGAATGTACGTGCTTGCTCAATCAGCCTCAGCTGCACAGGGTGTACTGGGAAACGTGTGTGGGAGCATTTGAGAAGGACAAATCATTCTTTGTGTGGTCTGGGCTGTTGGCATTTGCATCAGGAGGTTGGGCAGAGACCACTGCACCTGAAGTGGCCTTTCGGTGTCACCTGCCGATCCCTGCTCTGTCTGCCTGCACCTGGGAACAGGCAAGAATGGTGACTTTGGTGGAGAGTTTCCAGGGCAATTTCTTGGTCACCTTGAAATAAATTCAGTAGTGGAATGAGCATAGAACTTTGGATCAGGGTTCCACTCCAAGGTCATGGCTTTTCGACCCACCAGCCACTTGACCATGGACAGTTTCTTCATCTGCAGTGTCCTTGGAAGGAAAATGTGGCCAGAGAACCAAATGGTCTTGAAGAGTCCTCCCAAGCCCATTTCTGCCTGGTTTCCTGAGGAGTTGTTTGTGGCTCAGGAACTTGATAGTGAGTGGGGGAGGGAAGGCATCTTCCTGGAACAGGCATCGTACTTAATTGCAAGAATATGGCAAAGAGAGCCCTGGAGGCCAGCAGAGTTGTCTGCTGTGTTCACGTTGCCGGCTTGCTTCTCGCTCTCTGAAAATGAAGCTCTGAGGGACGTGGACTTGGAGCCAGATTCAGGCAAGAAGCACCCTGACAATCAACAGGAGGAGAGAGTGTCACAACCCAGAAACCCACAGGTGGTGGTGAAGTTCAGTTTTGGAGAGCCACACCCCGACCCCAAAATCAACCTCTTGAGTCTACAGTAACAGCAGCAATGTCATCCAACTGCAGCTCCTGGCTCCCCTGACTCTACTGAGACCAGCAGAGGCAGGGTCCCTGAAGCAAACCTCACCTCCCAAGGGCTCCAGGTCTTAAGCTGAAAAGAGGACAGAACCCTTGTATCCAAACCCTGTCCCAGGAACATGGGCATCATCACATTTCTGAGAGGACTGGATCTGCCTGAGACCCCACCACTGGGAGAAGAGTCAAGGATGAATG